CTGTCCTGTCCAAATGAGACAGTGTCATACTATTGTCATGGCAGTCAGATCAGTGTCATTAGGTGGGAATACCGCCTTACATCTCACAGGGAGACCCCATACAGTACAATTCAGATCCTCCTTGAGGAATACTCACAATACAGGTGAATCTTTTCTACCCTCACCAATATCACGAGGTTAAATGTAAATGAGAGTGTGGCAGACATAACTGCTAGTCTGATGATAATCACATATGGAATAGAGAATAAGACAAACATTAGCTACCTGTCAAGTAGCAACAAGAGACTTTCAACACTCAAGTCATCATCAATATTAGGTTTGCCAGCCACTCTGAATATGTTATTTTGAACTTAGCTAACTAATGTTTTTTTTTGTATATCCAACTTCCAGGCACCCTCAATCACATACCAAGAGAAGGAGACAATTATTATTTCACAGCAGTAGCTAGCTACTAGAGCTAGGTGATATGTTTGACGGAGGGGGAGTTCCTATTGATCACTACATTACTCAAGTGGACAACGGCACACAGTTGGAAACTCCAGGCCCAACTTACAGTTTTGACATCATGTACAATACTACACTGTCAGTGAACATCTCAGCCCACAACTGTGCAGGATACAGTGATCCCTTACCACTTGAGATACAGTACGATCAAGGTGGAGTATATTTTTTTCGTGAAGTATGATTTTACCTAAAACAACACATGACAGATTCAGGGGATGATAATGCACCAAGTATGACACCAAGACCAGTCACTGATGGTTCCTCAGTTCTTGTGATTGTGGTACCTGTATCAGCTGCTGGAACACTTATTGTCATCACAATATCTGCTGTACTCATTGTTTTGCTGAAGGAATTCCCTCTGTACATTATATGAATCGTGAGAATAATTCTTTGCTAACCTCATTAATATCACAAGGTTGAATGGTAGTGTGGCAGACATGAATAGCTACTATAATTATAGTCTGATGAAATTTTTTTTAAATATTGATTCGGCACTAAGATCAAGGATACACCAATAGCAGCATACTGCTAATAATGAAGTGCACCTAATGGTTTACGTGAACAAAGTAAGTGCGTAATACTTAAAAGAGAAAATGAAGTGGCATGACAGATTCAGCAGGAAAACAGCTCTATAACGAAATAGATTGCTGAATGAAAGAATGTTGAGAATTTGTGTGTGCATAAGGTACATTAATAAATACAGAATGATTATTGCGGGTGAGGCAACAAATGTGAAGGGAAGTATATCAGCCCATAATTGATGATGCAGTAACACATATGGAATACAAAATAAGTTGTCTAGCCCTACAAGGAGACTTTTAATCCTCAACACTGTACTTTGTAGGTTTGCTACTAAAACTTTTATTGTGAGGTTAGCTTTTGTTTTTAGGTAGCTATAGCTACCTAGCAGTAAGACACCCTCAATCAAATACCAAGAGAGGGAGACATATTTCACAGCAGTACTAGAGCTAGGACGTATGTTTGATGGAGGAGGAGTTCCAATTGATCACTACATGATTCAAGTGGACAACGGCACACAGTTGGAACCTCCAGGCCCCACTTACAGTTTTTACATCATGTACAATACTACACTGTCAGTGAACATCTTAAATCCACAACTGTGCAGGATACAGTGATCTCTTACCACTTTAGATACAGTATGATCAAGGTAGAGTTTAACGATTTGCTGCTTGTTTTGATATTCAGTTACAGACTCTAAAAAGGACATTTCTAGTATGACACCTAGGACTAATGGCGGCAATTCAGTGCCTTTGGTAGCTGGGCTTACTGCAGAATCTGCTGCAATTGCTGTCCTAATTATCTTGCTGTTGATACTAGTGACTCGTACTTTTTAAAAAGTGAATTTTGTTGTGAAAATTCTTGAGTGTATTGATGGTTTACCTTTTGTGTTAATAGGGTCAAAAAAAGTTGTCCCATTTCCATAAATATTAGGTGAACCTTCAATCACTGGTAATAATCATACTTGAGATAGTTGTTTTTTGTAGAAGAGTTGACAGCGAAAGGATTGGCCTCCAAAGCAATAGTGGAATATTCTTATGTCATGGTATAAAAGTAATAGCCCTGATGTCTGGTAACTTTTCTGTTATTGCTATAATCCAACATTGCATCCCACTCCGTTTCAAAGTGGCAAACGTTCATTGCTGTTTATTTTGTGAATGCAAACATCCATTATGCACTTAGAAAGTTTTCGTGATAGTTCACTGCTTTCAACTGCACCGTGTTTAGTGTACCATAGACTGCTCTTAGGAAGGGTGAGCTTTAGTGGTTAGCTGCACAACACCTTAGAACTACATCTGCAACATTGGGCACCTTTTGTAGCCCGTTTAGCTAGTTCAGTCTCGCTTCAATGAAGCGCCTGTGGCTACCTGCGAGCAAAGTATGGACAAAGCTGTGTATACACCATCATGCAAATCAGGCTCTTTCCTAGTGACTTGAAACTCACTTATCTACTGCGAAACACCCGTCAGTTATCTACACTACCACTTGTTGGTGTACTCTCATAAATTTATGCAAGGTTAGCGGGTAGTTCTATGAAAAATAATCGTCTAATTTGAATTATTTAGGTTACAGAAAGTATTTAGAGCGAGACTGTACTGATCAATACAGCACAGTAATCAACACTGGTATCTGCAACTCAGTTTATAGTTGTTTCATAATGACTTATATTATAAGTTTCAGCTAGCTACCTAGGTCAAACCTTGGTTATATATTCATGCCTATATTCTTATGAATAACAAAGCAACAAAATGTCGTTAGTAAAGAAGAAAAGATGAACTTTATTTGTGTTACCTCGTGGTATTTGCTGCTCTTTCTGTTTCCATAGAAAAACCAAATAAGGAACATCCACCCTGAGTGTGTTTTCAACACTGTTGTATTCATAATTGTATATAAGTTGCTGTTCTCCACCAATTATTGTTGCATAAAGTGGAATTTTTTTAATAGGTATTGCTCACAAGAAAAGACACCACGGGTGTGATGTGGTGGAGAACTCTGCTTATGGTGCACATGTTCAATACAGCATGGAGAACAACCCAGCGTACGAAACAAAGATCATTGAGGGAAATTCTCACAAGACAGAAAACAAGTTACAGTCCCTGTGTATGTGACCGTTGACATTGTGGCATGAATTCAAAATAGGCCAAAGTTGTTAGTAGTATACGCAAACATAGAACAAAAATTTTAGTTTCATGATTTGTGAACCACCACTAAGTGACCTAACCATGTAAAGCAATCAAGCAGGTTCTTCTAGTCGCAACTGAATATGTATGTCGTGGCCAGTGAGCCAATCCATTTTTACTTTTGTTTGATCCAACCACCCCAGCACACCGCTTACTGGACTCTGTAGTTTGTGAAGGACCGCGTGCTGGCTTAAGTAAAGTTTTATCACTAAGTATAATTATATGTTAGCTAGTACGTAGTAAAAGGGGTGGGTAGTAAGTAGCACCATAGTAGATGTGTGGTGCTATGATAGGCAGTTTTGTTCATCTTTTCCTTCTTCAGATTCAACACCCATAACTACGAAAAATCATTATTACCCTCAGCGCGCATGCGCAGCGAGGGTACTGTAGTTGGCGGTGGGTGGGTGTGTCTCTTACTCTACATATCACTTCTGGAATGTTTGTACGTCTCACAAACGATATTACCTACTTAACGGGCAATGAAGGTCAGAAATTATGAACGGTTTTTCTCTGAAAATGCTCCGTTGCAGAGCTAGAGCGCTTGCAGCATTGTATGGCTAATACCGGTAGTCGCCATTTTATCGCTGGCGGATAATGCGCATGCGCTTATATTTAGCACAGGCTTAGCTACCTCGACCGGGTCCGCTTGCTCTGTCCATCTTGAAGGCACAAGAAGTCACAATGAATGGCGTGTATCGACTCTCGCGTGCTATCTACTACTGTACCTAGCCCGTGTCAGACTCTCTGCGAGCTACTTCGCCGAGGGTTTGCACTTTAGTGCTTTTCATTGAAATTTGTAAGACTGGAAAGGTAGTACACCATAATGGGCACATAATGTGTCAGTGTAAGTCACAAATGGTAAGAGGTATATATGTGAACGAAACGTTATACATATCACTAACATCAAAATCACAACAATAAAATGTTTATAAACAACAACAAATGGCCTCAGGCAACTTCATTCCTATAGTTAGGTAACAACTTGGTACGCATGCATATAACATCATTTACACGATGATTTCACCGTTACGTACCGAAACAGCTATCCAGACCTCCGCATCTTTTTTCTCTTGGCATCACATGGTCTATTGTTACATGTGTGTAAACAACAATAAATAGCCTCAGGCAATTTTATTTAATTTTAATTACTCCTCAAACTTGTTACCAGTAGTACGCATGGAGACGAAACTTGGGGTACATATGCATAATACACAATTTCATGACAACCACAGATTGTTTGAACAACAAAATAGCCCCAGCAACTTTTCTTTAAAATTACTTCTTCACACCACTTTGCCAATGGTGGCACGCATGGAGATGAAACTTTGTACACATGTATATGACATCATTTCCACGATGACCCAATTTTTCTCCGCCTCTTTTCAAAGAGATGATACATAGTAGTATAAAAAAATTAGTGGAGACAAAAATCACGACACTGGGGCAGTTAACGCATAATTATGATGACAAAGACTTGAGTAGTACTCCAGCTACCAGACACTCAGGAAGAACATTAAGTCACATAAACCACCATATAAACACACACAGTACAGTCTGCACGAGAAACGATCACTTCCAGAAAAAGCCGATACCTTAAGCAAAGATGAGTCCACTTGCGGATCTAGCTGATTTGTTATCAGTGAGATAAGTAACACTGGCCATTAAAAAAGTTCCATGAGGTGAAACTGTTGTGTTACGCCTGTCTGTGTGTCGGTCTGCACCTAATTTTTTTAGCAAGAGGGCCCAAACCATGTCAGCGAGCTAGAGTGTGTAGTGCAGCTTGATCTGTCAATTTTGTGGTGCTACTAAAAAAAGTTATACTTGCTGGTATATAGCTAATTATGAAACAAGCTGGTACCACTAAATTGTCATTAATCCCTTTCATTCTCTCTTGGCTCTTTTAACTCAAAACCTTTATGTGAAAATCCACCTGTAATAAAAATGCAGTATATTATTTGCATGAGACACAAAATTGGCCACAATGTTGCACATTAACCATTTTTGAATGCCACAAAATGTTTCAAACAATAACGGACCCCTCAGAGAGGCGGAAAACCTCCCTATAGCGGACACGATCTGATTGAAATTACCATATTATGTACTTACAATACAGAGAAGTGGAAGCTTCTTGATTGCGGAGAGCAGACAAAATACATGCTCCCAACGGCGCTTTCAGAGCGGGATTGTATCAAGGATTTTGTTAAGAGATGGATCCAGATTTCCTAAGAAATACTTTCATGCTGTTACCTTGAGAAGATGCAGATGTTTTCTTCCAAATAACAAAAATGAGAATTCCTCCAAGACCCATGATAAAAATAAAAGCAAGGGCTAGAGTTATGGATAATCCGACCACTGCAGTGTCTGCAATTAACAATGATAGTAATAATAATTAGCAGTGTTACTATAATTATACCTCTTGTGTTACACTCCTGTTGAGAAGTAGGAGGTGTGAACAAAACAACTGAAGGTGTAGACATACTCTCTGGTAAGGATGGAAATCTGCCTATTGAATGATAAGATAGAGTTACTGTACAGCATTTAGTTAACGTTTGGCGCGCATGCGCAGCAAGGTTACGGTAGTTGTCGTGATGTGTCGCGCTGTTCGTCTGTCAGTCCGTTACTCGACATCTCACTTCACGAACCATTAATCGGTCCACAAACAATACCACATATTCAGCGTTGGATAAAAGTGGAAAAATATGTGGGGTTTTCTCTGAAACTGCAGCTTTCCAGAGTTACGGCGTGAAACACCTCGAGCGGGCCCGCTCTCTCCGTGTATCTTCGGCACAAGAAATCACAACGAAGGGCTTGTTGCATGCTATCTACAGCTGTAACTAGACTCTCCCCGAGCTGCTAGCGTACCACGAGTAAACTCATACTAATAGCCCAGCCCATCAATTAGCGATACCGCACATGCACAGTTCGCTGAGGGTGTGCACTTTGGATGGGGTGATGGGGAGCCGGGAGTCGGTGGTGTTGCCATGCACCCGTTTGATGCCACGCATCAGGCGTCGGAGGTTGACTGCCTCCGATGTTGGGTCCGGCAGACCGTGCTCAAGGTGTAGTGTGCGGACGGCGGAGAGGTAGAGTTCAGCTCATAGTTTCCGCTGAAAATACACTAAAAGTGCAAATGCTCGGTGCAAGCACTTCAGCTGCATGCAACGGCTAGCCCTGGTCGCTAATGGCGTTAGTTTCTTGTTCTATATAACATGAGCTAGCAGTATCAGTGAGAGAACTGGACTGCATACTTCTTGAAGTATTGAACAGGCAAACACTCGTCGAGGTAAGGGTTGCATTTCACGCCATGATTCTTACTAAGTAGAGTCTGGAAAATACCCTTTGAACGAGGGGGTGGCTGGGCAGACGGGAAATAATTTCTTCAACACATCTAAGCGGCCTGGAAATTTTGTAGCTATGTAGCAGTTTTCAAGGCCCCACGGAGTGTCCAAACTAGGCAGAACATGCAACAACTGTGTCTCGCCAATCGCAAAAATGACGGTAAACAAGCACGCATCCTACCGGCACAAGACGCAAAAATTACACTAAGAAGGTCAAAGAGTGATGGAACAGCACAAAGAGCTCCTAGCCAGCGCCCTAAACTCTCGCCCGATCGACTGTCGCCACAACCCGGTACGCAAACTATACTGCCTCAATGTATGTACAGTGGGTCCCAGTTAATATCATACCCGCGGTGCATCCAAAAATATGCGGGATATTCTATAATGCGGGCGCGTATACCGTGTATACTCCGGGTGTGTATAAGTACTGTGTATACCAATGAACTAGATAGCGCACAATGCAGTTTGTTTAGCTAAGCTAATGAAGATAGGCTAGCCTAGCTGTTTACATAAGCTAATGGAAGCCAGCAAAACTCCAGCCCAAAGTTGTGTACTTCACAACATAGCGCCCCTTAGCTGCCCTTATACGTGTTTTTTGGTATAGGTAAGACGGCAGATTCGAGTGTCTTCGTGGTTCTAAAGCCCGCGTGGGAGGTTGGAATGCGCAATAGTAACCGAGGCGGAGCCGAGGTTTCTATTGCGTCATTCCAACCGACCACGCGGGCTGCAGAACCACGAAGGCACGAGAATTTGCAGTCTTAGTTGTTAAGAAAATGGATAGCCGTACGGTTGGCTGTAGCTCGTCCGCCTTCAACCTTGGTTGGTAGCAGCTCTTTGAAGAAAGCACCGGGGAAAAGAGTTCTCCCAAGCCAATGCCGGGCGCAATCCACGATTGCGTCGATACTGACTATTAGCGGCGGCTGCTCAACTTTTCGACGGTAGCCCGGCAGGGGAGAGGCCTCCCGATTCCACACTGGGCACTGTCTAAGACTTCGTCGACGATGATTGAGAATCACTGTAATTAGCAGCATCGCAACTGTTCGAGCCAGGGCGAGGTCCGCTGAGCAGTCTCGGCTCGTGATCGTCGCTTCTGGACGCCCCGGTCCCGCGCGTACTGTAAACGGGAGTGTCTTAGAACTAAGCCACCTAACCGCAGATATCTTATCGCTAAGAGACCTGCGTGTAGGTGTCTTAGCCCAAAATTAACCTCATTAGCTATTCATGTTCAAAGCATTCTTGACATACCATTTTCTTATGGCAATGACCAAGACTGTATTTTTAATTCTGCTGGGATTTTGCTGAATTTCATTTGGGCTGGCCAACCCTGAGATTCTCCTGCTATAAAAGGAGGCGGCGCGGTGCACCAATGTGGTTCAAATTCAAAATTTTTCACACTTTGGTCAAAGAGAAGATGACCATCATCTTTGCAACTCCACAGCATGGCTCCATATGAGCCGTTCTCCATACAAACTAGGGCTAGCACTCAAGCACACAAAAACTATGAGGGAACCTGCGCTTAAACAGTGAAGTGTAAACAAACAGGCCAGACTTTTGACAAATCTTCCCCTGCATAACATACAGATGCTGCAAAACACGGCCATCCCTGGACTAAAAAACACGAAGCGGACCAGAAAATGGTGAAGTGCCAATAGGCGTGCTGTGCCTATTCAGAACTGTTGACAAAGGACGAAAGCTCAAACACCACACAGGAACTGTCAGCTGCTTTGCGGCAGAAAGGAAAGCAGTATAGTCGCTGACTCAGTGGGGTGTGGCTACCTGCGCTGTGCACGCTCTCTCTGTGCACGCTCTCTCGTAATTATTTTGCTCACAAGAGGCATGGCTGAGTGTTTGACTTCATGTTCCAGTACATGCAAGAGCTATCGAACATAAAAAGTAAAGTTGCGCCGTTGTCGGCATCTTTAGCGTGTCTTTGTTGAACAGGCCAACACTGGTATGCCCTGTTTTATTCGCGAAATGCACGTTTAAAATAGTGGGCAGGCTAGCAAGAGACAGACCGACAGAGAGACTGATATATACCCAGATGCAGTCACACAGGCGACAGACTAAGTACTATGTATTATCCCCATGCACATGCACATCGAGGACTGCAGGCATGGGTAGACCTGGGAAGATCAGGGAAACAACATAGACTGATATGTTGGCATTGGAAGCTTACATGTATATTGTACATACCTGACACATTGGATGGCAGTAAAGGGAGGGTTGGTGTTGATGTGGGGGTAACACTAGTTGGGTCAACAAAAATAGGATTTACTGTATAAACGTCAGACTTGTAACTTTCTCGGCATCTATCGTACACAATAACTGCGGCATTGTAAGGAATTGCATCAGTTTCAACTAGTATTGTCTCTTCCCTCTTGTTCCATTCAACAAACGTTGTGCTCTGAAACCCCTTCTCAATGTTTTCAATAACTACAGCAATAGTTACAATATCACTTGTTGTTGTTGACCACATAACTTTCAGTTCATTCCCCCATGAGGCTGGCATTGTCAATCGATGGTTTGTGCTCAACTGTTTAAATATAATAAGTATAAAAGAAGTATAAAAGCAATATGTAACATACCTGGAACTACAATGGAGACTGTGTCTTTTACATTCGGTGATGCTGAACAAGAAAGTTCCATACCCCTGTCTGTATCAAGAGTGTTTCTTAGTTCATCACTGAATGTCTTGAGTTGAGACTTATATTTAGAGTTCATATTGTCAGGGAGCTTCTCTGTGAGTGTGACTGTGATGGTGACCTGTGTTCCTCCCGACCAACCTCAACATCTGCAGTGAATGACACTGGGTTCCCTAGTTGCCCAAATTGCCACTGAAGTGAAAAGCCTGTCACGTCGCATTCTATGTATATGAGGTAGGTGTCATTTGGACACAGTGTAATGGTTGAGCCATCGCCAGTATGGAGTCCATATACTGTCATCTTTGCACTGTCTTCACCCAGCACATGGCCTACACAGTAAAATTTGCAAACATAAAACTTGCACAAACTTTTGCAATGTAATACGTCAACCTATGAGAATGCTGCTCCAATTGCTAGTGTGTGTTTAACACTGCAATGGATGTGTAAATGCAGGATGTGTAAATGCAGGAGTAGGACAACTTTTGTACGCATGTATACCAGTCACGTCTAACAGACAGAAGTATAGCAACAGAACGCTGAGTGATACACACTAATAGACTTAGTGCTATACCAGGGTATATAATAATGTTAAAAAAGAATGGCTTAGTGGGACAGAGCACAAAGCTTCTGCAGCTTCTCGGCCGTCAAAGTATGAGTATCGGTAACACACATATACATGCCGTCAAAAAGCAACACACAGCGGTAGCTACTGGTCACTGCCTGGGCCAGCAGATTGTGGTGAGCCAGCACATTGCACATAGCTCATAGCATGGCACAGTAACACAACACAGCCCACATGTCAATTAAACATTAAAAGAGGAAATGCGGTGGTATCATAGGACTGGCACATGGCACGTAGAAGTAATGGCATAGGGAACCAGCAATATACACTGGCACAATCACATAGCAAAACATTTAGGGCAACCGTAGAGCAGCCCTGCTTGCTCACTTCCTCTCTACAGAAAAGGGTCTGGGCATGAAACAACTATCTGTGACTATTGCAGCTCGAGGCAACACTAAGAAAAATGTCTCACAATCTGTGTGCCACAAAAAGCTATCAGAGAGGTATTATGTTTTAGGGGAGTGAAGTGAGCTGAACAGCACAACACTTTCATGGACAATCATTGAATATTTATGCTTTATAAGTACGTCTCATTGCTGTCCTATGAAATTCATTACATTTTACGCCACAGAGTAGCTGTACAACAGAAAGACAGACACTTGTAAAGCTTACCATTAAAGGAGAGTGTTATAATGGCGCACAGCCAGGTCAGCTATATAGTTGGAAAGATAGTCATAATATATCATAGAGAAAAGAGTGCACAAAGGAGGTTGCAACCGATGGTAAAATCATGGAACATCACATAACTCTCTGCACAATTTTTACAGATTAGACAAAGCCGACAAAAAGCCAAACGAGTATACATCATCTAGGTTGTCTCACGAAGAAGATACTGATTAGCCAGTGTACTGCGACGATCTGTGCCACTCAGTACACGATAGTTATAACTAAGCTAAGAACAGAGTACCTACTGCAAAGTGCATCCTCTGAATTTCCTTAAGCGGCCTTTTAGAAGTGCTCAGCATATATTATTTTATTATTGCCAACCGTCCAGCATATAGTAGTCTTAGGAGCAATTTCTTAGTTGCCCTGCAGGGGAAGCTTGGGGATGATGGGTTTGAGCATTTCCTGTTGCTTGATAGTTTCAGGAAAGCATCCTTATATTGGGTAGTGAGCTGTGGGAGGATACATTTGGTTCTTTGCTTTGCCTTGTTAAAGGTTTTATTTCGGATGTTTGGGAGCTAAGAAAGGTTAGGTTATACGGCGATAATCCCAGCGTACACAGACCCAGTCTTAGATTGCGTCTGGGGAGCTGCAGGGTGTCGCTGGTGGAGGGGGTGAGTTGAGGTGTCTGGGAGGTGAGACAGACACCTCATGTTCATATGGTGTATGTTTGTTTGTTAACGGTTCCGCCCATTACTCTGGGTGCGTGGTCTATGGCCCTAGTGCTATGGAAGCCACCTGAGTATTATTTATTTATTATTGCCAACCGATGTTGGTTGCAAGGGACAACTTGTAGTTTTGTAGTTAGGTGGGTAGATGATGACTTTGAAATCCACAAAGACCCTATTGAGCTTATCAATGTTCCACAAACTGATGCACGTACTTTGATCGAGGATTGCTTATTGAGATTTTGTCTGCCCATTTCCCAGTGCTGCGGTCAGGCATACGATGGGGCAAGGAATATGAGTTGATATTTAAATGGTGTCGCAGTTCAAAGTCAAATTGATGTACCTTGAGCACTCTATGTACACTGTATGGCTCATTGTATATACTATTTTACAAACAATAGCCCTTCAGTGTAAGCCTGTAAGGGATGTATAGGATCTGGTCATGGGTGTTGCTGATCTTCACCAAAACAGTCTTCATTATTTCAAGCTTTACAGGCTCAAGTAGCTCCAGGTTCACCTTCCTCAAAACCGTTATATCCTAGCTACAAGTGGACTGTTCGTTCTTCTGCACTGCATTCGATTTTTGAGAGATTTTTCTGCTCTATGTGAGACATTATATACAGAAGTTTAACGCTGAATGTAATGATGAATATGGGCGTACTGCTAGTGAGTACTTGCTCAGATGGAGAAGTTTAGTACATACCTTGGTCATAAATTTGGTGCTGGTGAACAGACATTACAAGAAACTGACACAACTTTGCAGGAGGCTACAACGTATGCTACCTTGAACGGCAAAGGACTGATGAAAAGTTAAAGTTTCATTCATTATATGAGGATGTAGTCAAGTGTTCAAAGGATCTCACAGCACATCCTTGCCTTCCAAGGTATAGGTGTCCACCAAAGAAACTTGACGAGGCAGGCTCAACCATGAATTCTCTTCTGCTGAATGCTATTTTATGCAACAGTATTTTGAAGTGTTAGATTTCCTGGTATATAAATGAACTCAAATGACGATTCCAACAAAAGAGAGGTATGCCTGTGGTGGCTACCGTTGAGAAGCTACTGTTAGATTCAGCAACCTGTATATACCATGGACAGTGCCGAACTTCCAGAAGAACTATATACAACTCTACCAAGATGACCTTGGTTATATCTCGACTGAAATACTATTTATCAATGCTTTCAGATGCTTCCAGATGTTATCCGAGTGAGAAATGAAAAGCTCCAATACAATTCAAAGGTGACTAATTATGTACGAACAAAGTTCAATTATGGCTGAAATATCACTTGGTAAAAGGAGATGCTTTCAGAAGTTGTTCCCTTGATAAACTTTTTCTATGCACATGCGGGGAATTTGGTGGTCCCCCCAATTGTAATGAAAAGGCACTAAAAGTGTAAACCCTCGGCGAACTGCGCGTGTGTGATGCCACTAATTGATCGGCTGGGCTATTAGACCAGAAATAAAACACTTAGAAGACACTTAGCTAACTTGTGCGTGTTTCAATGTGGTGCACTCGAAGGAGTGCACGAGCTATCGCATCATTTGTGTGCACACACATTAAAACACAGTTAGCTATAGCTATTACTTAAAAGCTCAGGGTATAAAGGCTAATGCACGTATGTACAACAATGGTTCATTGCTAAACCTTACCAAAAGTGTGTACAGACCCTGTTTTAGGCTTTTGGATTACTTAGTTCAGTGACACATTAGCGTAGTTTTATGCTGTTACTTATTCATAACTACACCCTGTAGCTACTTATATGAGCATGAAGGTCCACACATGCACTTCTGTTTACACTAGAAATACCAACTTCCTCTTATTATTATGCTAGCATGAAGCAAAATATGTGGTATGTGTAGAAGCAGGGCGCATGTGTAATGTATATAGAACACATTGGCATCAACAAATATCTAACGTTAAAGGGGTCATTAAATAAAAGCACTAGAGTGGAAATTCTCTGTACACCACGCATTTGCAGTATCGCTAATTGATTGACTGGGCTATTCACAATATGCATTTAGCTATTTGTGGTCTCCTGCTGGTAGCTCGCGGAGAGTCTGACACAGGTTAGCTACAGCAGTAGATACCATGCAGGAGTCGATACACGATCTACGTTGTGACTTCTTGTGCCTTCAAGATACACAGAGTCTGATAGAAAACCCGCCCGAGGTAAGCCTGTTCATTGGCTTTTTCGCTCGTGTTTCACGCCATAACTCTCGAACACTACAGGAGAGGAGAGGAGAATCGTCGACACGAAAACGACTCGTCGCCCAGAAGACGATCCATCACCCCGATTACGAAAAAAATCTTTTTGACACAAACGGCGCACCATAGGATGTTTGGTACCGACAGACCGACAACAACTACAGTACTTCTGCTCCGTATAGCTCGAGGTGTGCGTGTGGTGTGTGGCTCTGCCTAGCTATGCGCACACTGCATACCTACCAACCATCCAGCTTTTTGCTTGATAATCAAGCAAAAACACCACCAGAAAATTGCCAAATTCCTCTTTTTTTCTGCTAACCTGTGATGCATCATACATTTTGAATGGACACGCAGGATTTTCAAGCAAAAATACTTCAAATCAAGCATTTCTCAAGCAAATGTTCATCTGCAGGTTGGTAGGTATGACACTGTAATACCATGCTTCGGGTTTTGCACAAAACAAGGACGTGTAAGGGTAGGGCTGGCCCTAGGCATAGGTTGCTCGGGTAGCAGCCGGAGAGGCATGAGAAATAGGAGGGACAAAACAAACTATGTAGAAATTCCCTTGGCACTCCTACCGACTGGACTGAACCTTATGCTTGAAGAGTATATATATATATGAGAACAAAATGACCAAACCACTAACAGTTGTACACTACAGACACAGATGTGAAAGTGTTTCTTGCGGCTGTGTTGCTGTAGCCAGCTTTAACCTAGATTTCTCATGTGTGACAGTGACAGTAATAGCTAAAGTTGTCAGTTTTCTGTGGCGCATGACTACTGTTCATGCAGTAAGGGAACTCCTCTGAGGAAAGTACAGTTATAGGACAGGACGGAGAGGACCGCGAACATAGAAAATCATAGAAATCTAGAAATCACTGGAAATCAGCACACACGGAAATCTGGATATCTCTTGAAATCACGGAAATCTGAAAATATCATGTGGAAATTGGTAATGAGTGAAGAAAATCAAGATATCAGTTGGAAATCACGGGCTCTTAGAAATCTCGTACGTCATAACGGAAACCCCTCGGGCATGGTACAGCAGTACAGAACAGCACAGAATGGAACGGACCACGAACTAAACGGGAGGGAAATAGGAACAACCGTTCTACGGAATGGAAACGCATACTTTCTTATGACGCCTACTGCATATGCTCCCCTCACCTTCTCTTACTACCCAACTTTTAAAGAGTTTCTGAACACCTAACCAAAGGATCCTGCCGTAAAATACAAAGCAGTAATCAAACAGTTTATGCCAATATTTAATAGTTAAGAGGTGTCAGGAATGACAAGGAATGACAAGTGGAAGTGGAAGAACCATCACACAGAGAGGACAGCCACCACAAGAAGGGCCAGGACTAGCTCACATGCTTGCATATTATTGTGCCTCCAGCTACATATTTGCCTTCACGCAATTCACACACGGTGTGTAGGGCCAACCTAATAGCACCAAGGGTTTCACAAAAACGTGTACTCGCTCTGAACAGTAACTCACTATTTAAAACTGACTGCACATTCCCCTGGCATACTGTACACATCATGCTTACATAATGTCTTGGACCACCAAAGGATAGTATACAAGGTATTTCCTGACTGTTACAAATCACAAAGTTGTACACACAGAACTGTCAAATTTGTAGTAAAGTTCACGTCGGTAGAGCACTCAAGTGCACGATAGTAGTGCACTCAAGTGAACGTCAGTAGTGAACTCAAGTGCCCTTCAGCAAGACCACTGCCGCACTCCACAGACGGGCTTCTGCCTTGGCCCTGTCACAGCTTTACCCACTTATGGGTATAGCGGCAAATGCACTATAGGACTCTGTAATCGCCCTCAGTTGTAACTTTTCGGGAAGCAAAAATCAAAAAAGCAAAAAAGAAGCAGAATCTATCAAGGAAAGCCCATCTACCACAATCAGTCTCTGGCACTGTCTAACACCTGAACTAAGATGCACCCGTTGTAGATTACCTAAATGAAAGGTCACAGGCTTGTTAGTAACACTATATTAATTTTAGTCCTTATAGTATTGCAACACTCACTTTCAGTGTTAGCTATCACATGCACAGCCCCATTCATACTTCAGCATGAGTGGGAAAGTTCAGAACAATATGGACAGGGGTGAATATGTACTATATAGGTGTGCAAATGGTCACATAAAACCAGGCATGTTATGTAAACACACTCATTCAAAGTTGTGTAGCCTATTCCTGTGCAAAACATCGGCCCACTAGAACCCATAAATTATGTACATGAACGTCAGTATTATACTGCTAATTGGTGGGGCTGTTCTGTACTTCACACTACACTAATGGCTTCTCACTTATGGAGGGTGAATCGTGGCAAAATTTGACGATGTTTTTTATTCGTTTGGAGGAAGCATGTTTCGAGTTTCTTCGAGTGTGGTCCGGGGCTAGTCTGGCGTAGCCTAGTCTGGCGTAGCCTGCCTATTTCACGCATGCGGAAGAAATAGTCAGGTGTCGTTAGCATCAACGACCCATACCCATAGTTGAACTCCAATCAGATTGCAGAACGGTGTGGAATGTAATCAGTATGCGCGGTTACATCATAGTATAGTTGTTGGAGAGCCTCCTTACGCTTTTGTGAGCGCCGCTAGTACGGCAAAAGCTTGAGAGAGTTAAGACTTTTCTGGTGTGAGCCATCGTGAAAGGCCAGGGTTGTTACCAGGAATCCGCGGACATTACAAGAAAACATGCCTCTGGAATGTAAAAAAATCCGCGCGGGTGAAATGTATGGAGTTCAATGGGAACATAAACTTTCTTGCAGCGTTGCTTGATGGTCTACCAACTCCGGAGAGGTCCGAACGTCTAGAAGTCAAGAACGACGACTCCTCCACCGCCCAAGCACAAAATATTCACCGTGGAGCAGCTAGTCTTTCGGCCAACTACAATCTCCCGCACCGCATGCGTTCCCCATTGAACCGTGTAGATTTTGAATGAAATTTCAAAATCCGTGTGGGTCTAAACCTTTTTTGAGCGGCCATGCTTACTCTATTTTGAGGCCCGAACGTCTAGAACTGTAGAAGAGAGTCTAAAGTTTCAGATGAACCAAAAAAAATACGTTCGTTATATACAAAGTTAAGCGGCCAAACGCATTTGAAAATCGGTAAAATTTGGATGAAGGAAAACTGGCCCCGTCTGCCTCGAGGAACCGGGAAGACGCGTTTCTGTGTCTCACGCCACTTACTGTCATCTGAAAAGTCTTAGGGGTTTCTGGGGCAATAGGCCTACCTTTTGCACCGCTACAAAGTTTCTCCCCCGCTACTCTAAAGGTTATACCTAGCTGGCTCGTACTACAGTCACCGCTCATGCACGCTGATGCGTCCATCCGGCACAACCGAAACTCTCATCTATCTGGCAGACGACGCAGTGTTTCAGTTAGTACGCTACCTGCACATCAGTAGTGGAACCTTCAAGCCTAAAGACACAAGAATGGTTCGGCCAAAGCCTCTCTCAGTCGTATATACAATCAAGCAAATGTCCCCGCCAGTTGTGGCTTTTCTCACGCAGCTTCTCACGTGCAGTGGACTCGAAGGTGCTTTGGTATCCACCAACATACATTCAAATGAGTGTCAATAACCACATTCACTAAAAACAGAAAAAAAGTCAGTCTCTGGAAGATGGTTCCGCTCGACAAAGGACAGGCGTAGAGGTCGGGCCGTTCCTTGTTAGATAACACCATCAGAAGGGCAGGCAGACATCCATCACAACGTTTTTCATGTCAAACCTTCTCCAACACAGAGTGGTGTAGCGAAGAGCTGGCGTATCCACCGTCTTCCTTCGAGAAATACTGAGTGCGCTTCAGATAGAGATGCCCGTAGCTATGGTAACCGCCGTTCTGTCCGCATGCGCGACGAAGAATAACACGTAAACAAGCTGGTTTACATGTTTACATGGCGCACAACAAGCTAAGTACAGAAATAACACCGTGACCGCTAAACTAGGCAGATTGCTGGTAACGAGTAGTGTACTGTATGCCTGGTAATGGAGCTCAGACTGCGTTCTCCGAACCCCACCCGCTAATCACGTGGAATATTGTGTAACCACCGCATTCCAGGGGTATGGGTCGTTGATGGTAACGACACCTGACTTTTCTTCCCCGTGAAACAGGCAGGCTACGCCAGACTGGTCTGGGGTGTGGTCAATGCGGCGCATGCATGGCTGACCTCCTTGACTTTCGAGACAGCGCACCGCGTTCTGAAGCTGCTGAGGTCGAGGAGCTGAGATGACCCAGCCACCAACTGCTGTTGCCTGTTGGTGTGTCATCCCCAGTCACTTCGCACGCCACCACGTATCCAGCCTTGCCTGCGCCGCATCGACCACGCCCCTCCCGCCGAAAGAGACACGCCTCTCCACCTGAAGAAACATGCCTCCTCCTCTAGAGGAGATACGCCTCTCCACTTGAATAGACACGCCTCTCCACCTGAAGAAACATGCCTCCTCCTCTAGACGAGATACGCCTCTCCACTTGAATAAACGCGCCTCCGCTCAACGCAACACGGCTCCTCCAGAGGAAAAAAGAGCGTTAGCTACATGCCTCCTCCTCTTGACGAGACATGCCTCTCCACTAGAAGAAACGCGCCCCCTCCAGAAGAACAAAAAGGGCGTTACATCGTCGAATTATGGCACGATTCACCTCCCATATGTTGCAACATTTCGGGAGACACAACCGGCAGAAACCATCAAAAATGGCTCTATAATTATAGAATGCAGAAAAAATGCGCCGCTTTATACAAAGAGACATGTCAGGGGGGAAACATACCTTCCTGATGCTGAACATTAGTTCCGTATACTGTGAATTTCTGGCGCGTCTGGTTTTCACAACTGTCTGACGAACACGACACTTTTTCACACACGATAAAAAAGTGCAGTGTTTGGCTCACCACTGCTCCCGCTAAAAAGACTTCCTGCAGCTTCTCCAGCTCAGTATAATATATCAGTGGAGAAAGCTCCAAACTTTATGATTTTCGCGACAGTTTCTCCACAGACTTCCTACACAGGCCAAGCTAGCCTCTAGACAGGGGCGGATCCAGAAAGTTTGAAGGGGGGTTCGACGGCCTAGCGCGGCGCGCAGCCTGCCACAGCCGTTAGCGGGACGTTATGCGCATGCGCAGTTAGGTTCACCCGAGAACAGTGCGGCGGTTGTGACGCAGCGACTCTGATGCGCGAAGCATTGCGCACAAACAGGAAAAAACACCAACCTGAGAGGATATTTATTTTAAAATGTAGTAACAAGTTCATCTATATCTAATGGTTTTGCTTTTCGTGAATGATCATGAATCTTCATCATTGCCAGTCAGGAAAGTCTCTCCTCAGTCATATATAGTAGATCTAAGGCATGCTTTCAGGAGTTTAAGCTGGCTGTTTGCCCTCTCGTTTTCACATGTTGTCATTGGGAGGGTGCATGCAATAAGAAGTAACGTTCTAATGTTAGGAAATGAATCTTCATGACACTGATGTAGTGCTATAATTATAGTTGAAGTGTGGCTGGCCGCATTTCTGCTGGAACGGAAGCAAACTTGTGTTTCCACCGGTGAAATTCTGTTGTAAGAAGAGATACAGAAGGTAAGTCTACCTCATAAAGTTCCCCTACTTCTTAAATAGATGCATCAGGGACACCGACAGCCATAGAAGGTATTAGACCGGGAAGTTTTATGCTTTTTTGTTGGGTTTCACCATGCCTGTCCTGTATTTCCACCAAAATGTGATCTAAAAAGGAATGAAGGTTGATCTCCTGGAGTATTCTTCAGGTATCTGTGCTGGAACATTTGACCGATGAAACTGCTATAAGAATATCTTTAGACTGTTTTTGCAGGAAGACTGCTCAGAAGTCTCATGGCAATTGAAAAAACTCAAATTAAAATTCTATATATAAAGGCAAAAACCCTCTGTAGCTACCCACCTTGTTCTGCACAAATTTTCGCTTAGTAGTGCTTTCTTATGAAGACTCAGTTATTTTCTTAGAGAAATTTTGCCTTTTAGGGGGTTAGTAAAGAAATTAGCAATTTCTGACACTGTCTTGCTAGCATTACGAATTTGAGAACAGAGTATCCTTTAACTACATAAAGATTAAGTTGGTTAGTCTGACAGTGAGTAAACAGCTAATGGAGAAAAATTGCACGAATTCACCCCTGGACACCAGCCCTGCTAGAGGACATATTGGAGGATCCGTCGTATCCCTGGCCCCTGCAGTTAGCAATATCAATACCCCAAGATGATAACTATCCTAATATTGCCTTTGACAAGGAATCTCCTGTTATTCTTAAAAAGTCAACAAATTCTTCCCTTATTTGAATCTCGTTATCTACGAATCTTACAACTAGAGACAGCTGTTCCACACTAGCACAATCAGTGACCTCGTCGGCCAATATTGAAGAATACTTTACGCTTTTTACCTCATTAACATTTTGATGCGAATAGCATCACCAACTACAATGATAAGCCCCATTGTTTTTGATGTAACAGCATTCCTAGGGGCATTTTCTAGATGTTCATTAACCCTCGGCGCGCATGCGCAGTGAGGGTTACAGTAGTTGGTCTGTTCGAGGGGTCCGTCACTTACTCCCGCGAGCGTACGAGATTTCTAATTTAGCGAAATATTTCCAGGTTTCCAGAAAGATTTCTAGATTTCCTGAGATTTCAGATTTCCTGCAAGATTTCCTTGAAGATTTCTGGGATTTTCTCCGAATTTGAGATTTCCCCTCAGATTTCCCGCGGCGTTTTAAGGATTTCAGCGTGGCACCGTAGAGATTTCTCGGGATTTCTGGACTTTAGCAACGCATTTCAGGTTGTGTATTCTACGCTGTGCTGTGTGCGATACGTTCTTCTCTGCTAGGGGCTATGTGCAGAAAGCCTCGCAGGAGGCTGTTTGGAACCACAATATTTAGGCGAAGAATGGTACGGCACCTTCAGTGCATGAATAGGCTCATCTAGCTTTATCCCCAGCCACTCTCTGGGCCATGTATATGCCGTGGGGCTAGCTACTCAACATAGCTACACATAGCTGTAAGTTGCTATTTGACATGAACGTTTAAATTGCTTATTACAGGTCTTCAGGTCAGCACCGAGGGGTCCCCTTGGTCAGCACAAAGAGCTGTGACTGTTGGATGGATGATTCGTGAATTTCAGAGATTTTAAAAAAATGACTGGACAAAAAAACTGAGTAATAATAATGCATCTACAATAATCATTCGATACTATTACAATTCTTACAGAACCATTTTTTGTTTCTCTGAATACGTGTAGAAATACATTTTGTGTTCACTACCATTCACCACATCCACCATTTCACTCTACCATTCTCTCTCCATTGTATATAGATAGAGCAGTAAACCTTGACTGTTATTGTTTTTTCGCACATGTAGACATTCTTCTCTCCTTAGCAACAGGGAAAGGTTCCATTTTTTTCTGTTCAAAGTACACTATTAGACGATTACGCATAAGACCCAGGTAAAAAATATACAAGGATGGATTGAGCCTGCTGGCAATGTGTGGTATGTATGCAATCCACAATCCGAAGCCCCTGACTGCTCCCTGGATTGATGTTAATGATTATTTCAAGTGAGATATCAAGCATTATTTTTGACTACCATTTGCAAGACGTACTACCTTAAAATTGTAGAACGTTCAGGGACAATGACTCTTGGTGTAGCTGGAAGGGAGCATGGAGTCAAAAGTTCAACTACTTCAGAGCAGCTAGCATACACAATCTTGAAAACCAGATCCAGTGATAGAAGCGTGTACAACACACCGAGACCAGACATCAAGACCATATGAACAATGAGGACCTCTCGTCGAGCCTTTCGTAGCACGAGTTCGCTGGTCCTGTCATCTCAGGGCGTTCCGAAGAACGGGACAGAGGAGGCCATGGAGCAGGAGATGAAATCAGGAACAATACGAATGCCGTCGCTGCTTTTCTACGACGAGGAGCCATTTTCTATAGCTGCATGCACAAACGTGACCTCGAACGTGACCTTGACAAAATGTAACTGAAGCAGGGTGTAAATGAGGTATATTGCAAAACTTCACTAACTCGGTTTCGGCGAGAAATGTAAACATGAGCGCATGCGCAGTATTGGTGGTGTGCGAGATGGCGACCGTACCTAGCCTCCGTACGAGGTGATTTTCACCTCTGTTCTGTGTCATTGACCAGCAGTCAGAAAACATGGCTGTCATTTGCCGAGATTACGAGTCATCGACCCAAGTTCAGCTGTCCAGCAGAGCGTGGGCTCTATCTGGTCGCCAGGTGCCAGATTATGAGTCAGAGCGGGGGCTCTATCGTATTTCCGATTATCTGGACTGGAACTTCAACATTACATGTTTATACTTGGACTGTTTGCATATGCCCCTCGGGTCCTGCAAAATGAACTTTGAACTTTGAACTTTACGCCCCTCTTCAACGCGCGATTGCGGGTATTTCATGGTTCAAGATTTCCGTGAAGATTTCGGGATTTCACGGAAGATTTCCAAAATTTCACGGATTTCTTAGGGATTTCCAGATTTCAAGCAAGATTTCAAGATTTCTTCAGATTTTTCCGGTAAAGCGTACGAAATTTCTGCAAATGGCGGACCCCTAGCTCGGGTATATGTGTGTGTGTGTGTGTGTGTGTGTATGTGTGTGTAGACGCTTATTCTAGCACTGCGGGCTACAAAGCGACCTATTAGCGATACCAGCGGCTTCAGAACTACGCGAGCCTGAAAATGAAAAGGGAGATTTTCCTGAACGACTGCATTCGAGCGAGAGATATGCCGTGAAAACATATAGCTACTGGGCTTACCGCGACCTGATCCGCTCGCTCTGTGTACCTTGGGGCCTCAGGAAGTCACAACGAACGGGATGTATCGACTCCCCATCCTATCTACTACAGTAGGTAGCCCGTGTCAGACTCTCCGCGCAGAGTCTTTTGCTTTGCTATAATAGGAGTGCTGTGTTTAGCAAACAGTTGCGTAAAGAAAATGCTTAACTAGCTAATGTTTCGTCAGCTGCTGATGCATTGAAGTGACAGCACAAGGCCACAGAGTTAGGCAGTTCCAGTTTTCATGTTTCTGGGTAGCTATAGTATGTAGTACATTGGCAATGCGCGTGGAATAAGTGCAGAGTTGTAACCATGCTAGTGCAGGAGAGTGTGAGACTGGTGAGAGATTATTCCAATTGTTGCTCACTGGCTAAGTTTTCACCTTTGACCTACAAAATGATAATCAGAGTGGATGGCTTATACACTGAGTTGTGTGAATATCAAATGTTAGAAAATTGTATATACCACCATTAAAATTTTTAATCTGACTCGTGGTCCATCTAACTGCAACACTTGCATGCTATATACACAGTAGACTGCTGATGTTCTCTTCGGATTACGTGCGTAAAATAATGCTAAATTCATCCCTCAAAAATCATAAGATTTCAATTGGCCACATTACCCCACCTTCGTCCAAGCACTGTAACCCTCACTGCATATGCGCACCAAGGGTTAATTATCAATATGCACATGTCATGCATTGAAAAATCCCATTCATCAACACTCTGCTGTTCAGCATAGTTATGTTTTGACAAAAAGACACTGTTTGTTAATTAAATACAGCAGTTTTTTGAAAACGGATAAGACAAGGAAAAACAGTTTATAGAGCAACACTGTCAACAGTCTCATACACAGGGACTGGAGCTGGTGTTTGTATCTTGTGTGAGTGTCCCTCATTTGACAGTATCCTCATCTCATACAGTGGGTTGTTCTCCATGTTGTAGTCTGGCTCCAGTCTATCACCAGCTGAGCCTTGAACATGGACACCATAAGAAGAGTTCTCCACCACATCACACTTCTCCTGCTGTCTGTTTTTATTAGTACTACCTATGAATTTAACGTAATATAATCAACACTTCAACAATGAGGCAACTTACATGTCCTTTTAAGCAAAACAATGAGTACAACAGATATTGTGATGACAATAAGTGCCCCAGCAGCTGATACAGGTACCACAATCACAAGAAATGAGGAACCACCATCACCAACTGGTCTTGGTGTCGTACTGGGTGTACTATCTCCTCCGAATCTGTAGAGTATTGTGTTAGGTAAAAATCACAGTATTTCACCAAAAAAACTCCACCTTCATCATACTGCATCTCAAGTTGTAAGGGATCACTGTATCCGCACAGTTGTGGGCTGAGATGTTCACTGACAGTGTAGTATTGCACATGATGTCAAAACTGTAAGTGGGGCCTGGAGTTTCAACTGTGTGCCGTTGTCCACTTTAATAATGTAGTGATCGATTGGAACTCCTCCTCCATCAAACATGTCTCCTAGCTCTAGTGCAGTCGTGAAGTACGTCTCCTTCTCTTCGTTTACAACACCTCTGCTTTAATTATATTTAGGCACATCTGAAAAGGATGAATAATGCATCACAAGATTACCAAAGCCTACCTCTGGTTCTGCTCACCAACCTGCAACATAGATGGTAGCAGTCATGTTACACTCATCAGTCCCAACTAAAGTGATGCAAGTGACATTTGTTCCATTTCTCACGCCAGACATTGCCACTGTTAGAGTTGATGTCATGTTTGCAAAATACTCATCAATTCTATCGAAATGTACAAGAGTTGAGTGGAGCATATTGTCAGTACTATTCATTGTAAGCAGTCCTGGGTCACCCATTATTAGATAAGCAGCATAAGTCAGATCACCATCTCTTGTTGTATCAGGTTCCACCTTCCATTTAATGACAGACACCTGGCTGTCACTACATGTAAATGTCACAGATTCATTGGGACAGGAATGAAAAGACAGTGGTTGCAGAGCTGGCTCTCCAGTGCATAATCGCCTTGTGTAGATGGCAGATAGAGCATTGTCCAATATCTCTCCGTGAAACAAGAGTCCAATGAATAGGAAATGGTAACCGATATTTCTCTGTCGCATTTGGCCGGATTTCTTCTACCACAACCTTTTCTTACACAAAACTTCGATTTTGGGAGAGTAAAAATGTTCCGATTGGTCGAGAACACGCGTCACGTTAGCCTCCGCGGCGGAGCCCGAACCGCAACAATGTCAAAGCAAAGGAGGTGGAGTCATCATCGACACGCCGCTTTGCGCTTCGGGCGGCGCGAGTAAAGCCACGTCGCTTGCGCCGCTGATGCATGTACTGGTCTCCTCTTTTTGTTTTGGCTGCCTTCCCACTACGAATGTTTGTGGTCATATTACTAACGTGGACTAATGAGTAAAACACGCCCCTACCCATCTTGACCTGACAGAATGCAACTTGGAGTGGCCTAATCAGGACTGTGCTGTTTGTCAGGACAAGGTATATACTAAGCTAGTAATGTAGGGAACTCATTGCTAAACATAACAGTATTTATACTCTCAACAATAGGAAAAGACAAGTTTTATAGAGCAACACTGTCAACAGTCTCATACACAGGGCTGGAGCTGGTGTTTGTGTCTTGTGTGAGTGTCCCTCATTTGACAGTATCCTCATCTCATACAGTGGGTTGTTCTCCATGTTGTAGTCTGGCTCCAGTATATCACCAGCCATGGACACCATAAGCAGAGTTCTCCACCACATTACACTTCTCCTGTCTGTTTTTAGTACAGTGGGTCCCACTTAATATCGTACCGTTTAATAGAATATCCCGTTTATAATCATACAAACCTGAAATCCAAAACCATTTCTATGCTTTCCCATACATTTTACTCCGGTTTATAGAATACGGAGAATACGGATAATGTCATATCCCGCCTATTATCATAGAAAAATTGAGCAATTTTGGTTTTTGCCCGCATATTGTCATTATGGCGCATGCGTAATTAGGCATTGTACAACTTTGGGCTGGAGTTTTGCAACTCTCCATTCTCCACCTGGCTTCATTAGCTTATGTAAACATCTTCATTAGCTTAGCTAAACAAACTGCATTGTGCGCTATCTAGTTCACAATATACATTGGTATACACCGTATACACACCCTGAGTATACACAGTATACGCGCCCGCATTATAGAATATCCCGCATATTATATCATATTTTTTGGATGCACCACGGGTATGATATTAACCGGACCCACTGTACTACCTATGACACAATTAACACTTTAAGCACTGAAGTGCGGCGTATTGTGACGCGCACGCGTAAGTAAACGCATGCGCCGTACCACTAATTGATGGGCTGGGTTTAGTTTTAGCTGTTACTCGTGGTCTCTTGCCAGCTCGCGCAGAGTCTGACGCGGGCTAACTACACTACTAGATAGCATGCGAGAGGCGAGACACGCCCTGCTTTGCATCTTCTGGTGCTTCCGAGGTACGCAGAGCACGCGGATCGATCAGACCGTCTCGTCCGTTGTTTATTTGCATATTGGCTTTTTCGCGCTCTAGCTTTGCAACGGAGCAGTTTCAGAGAAAACCGTTCGAAAATTTCTGATCTTCATTACCCCTAAAGTAGGTCGCATCCTTTGTGACAGACACACAGACCCAACTACAGTACCTTCGCTGCGCATGCGCGCCGAGGGTAATGATGGCAACTTACAAGTCCTTTTTAGCAAAACAATGAGTACAGCAGATATTGTGATGACAAGAAGTGTCCCAGCAGCTGATACAGGTATATACCACAATCACAAGATCTGAGGAACCATCAGTGGCTGGTCTTGGTGTCATACTGGGTGTACTATCCTCCACTGACTCCATAGAATATGGCAATAGGGTAAAATCATAATTCAACCAATAAACTCCACCTTGATGATACTGTATCTCAAGTGGTAAGGGATCACTGTATCCTGCACAATTGTGGGCTGAGATGTTCACTGACAGTGTAGTATTGTACATGATGTCAAAACTGTAAGTGGGGCCTGGAGTTTCCAACTGTGTGCCGTTGTCCACTTGAATAATGTAGTGATCAATTGGAACTCCTCCTCCATCAAACATATCTCCTAACTTTAGTACTGCTATGTTATTCTCTCGGCATATAATCACTGAGGTGTTTTTCCAGCGAGGGAGATCTAAAGAAGTGAATCACAGTTACATGCAGAAGGATTACCTGCAAAGTAGAGGATTGAAGAGGAAACTCCACATCTACAGTGAAACTTGTTGCTTGTGTGCAGAAAGTGTCTCCTTTCTTCGTGGTTTCATTAGTGGTAAATCCTGGTGCATATTGGAATCCTTCGTTTCTTAAGTAAGGATCAGCAAACCATGCCATTACTGTTACTTGACTGTCATGACAAGTGAAAGTGATGTTGACATTGGGACAGAAATGACCAGTTGGTGGCTCCAAACATGGCTGTCCACTGACACTATATACCTGATGAGAAAACAGTAGTAAAATGGTTAACTGTCCTATTTGGAGAGGCAACTTATTCGACCCACGTTCCCTAGGGCTAGTTTGCTCAATAAATAAAACTGGTAATGCCTGCGGGTTCGGTAACGTGCAAGAGCCAAAGTCAAAGGGATATAATCCAAGATCAAAAGCCAAAGGGATAAAATGCCATTAGTCGACGCGTTGGAAGCGTGATCAACGAACAGCACGACCGGGATCTCGTATTAGCTATTCGGTCTCGTATTTCTCCCCACACAAAAGCGTAGAAAGAGCGATCAGCGCTGGCATGGTAGCTATAATCACTCACCTTTTGGCAAAAGTTCACTTAGGAGAAGAAGAAATGATTGGCGAGCGGGACCGAGCCAACCTAGTCTTCGCATTGGGCCGATTTTTCATTATTTATCGTTGGTACGTCGTGTAAATGCGCATGCGCGGCTTTGTACTCGCTTCTTTTTATCCGAAACTATTTCCACACATTTTCACACACGGTGCCTCTCGATATGCACCGATCGATCTAGCCAGCGAGAGTCTTACTCTCCTCTATTCGACGGCGTGCAACCTTCGGTGACTGACCGAGGCTGTATATACCTCTTCCCAATATTCATGGTTCCACGGTGCAACTTGCAAATACGCTAGGATTGCTCGTGCACATACTGCTGCATGCCAACCACGACTGACGAGCTGAAAGCGTAAGGTAAGTACCGTTCTGCTCACCTGCTCACCGTTCTGCCAATGTACAACACGCATGTAACGGCGACAGGTAGATCTGTGTTGCTTCGAAAGGAAAGCTGTGCGCTGACGGCACGTTATGCAGCCCGAACATCGCGGGCAGTTGGGTCGCTCCCGCTCGCCAACGATGTTCAACATTTCCACTAGTATTATCATCCATCTAAAACAATATCATATTTTT